TCGACTGGGGGTGAAAACCCTAGGTCCGAGAACACCACAAAGACTTCTTTTCTCCTTCTTTGCTCTTCTTCTTCTTATCGTTTCTTCTTCTTCTCTTCTATTTTTCATCTAGAATTTATTCTTGCTATTGGGATTAAGCTTGTAACTCGTATTCAACACGTGGATTTGAGATTAATCGTAAGTTTCTTTTCTCTTTTTATTAATTCATGAAAATGGTTGATTTGAGGAGAATGATTGCTTGTGTTGAATCGATTTTACGTAGCTAATTCTTATTGCTAGGGATAGGGGATGATTGTTCTTGTTTGAGTTGTACTTTGTCGGGCTTGAATTGTTCTTACTTATGCGAGTTGATTTAATTGAGAATTCATGAAATTGAGCTTGATAGTTTGATATAATTGAAGGGTGCACTTCGATCTTGTAACTGGTAACAATTAGATATTGAGTTGTTGAGTTTGGTTTTGTTGATTTTCTATGATTAGTTGATTAAACACCTTCTAGTCTAATTAGCGACTTTTAGAACCGAAAGGGAAGAAGTCGTAGACTTAGGCTCGCATGAGGTAGACGATTTCGTAACTGAACAGCCTATAGGTTTTGGGTTGAAATACGTGCTTGTCGATGACCCGTCCTTTGTTACGAAAAGATATTTGGATTGGGATAACTGGCCTGTGTCGTATGCTCGAGTTTTTTCGTCTATGTTCAATCCCTTGTTACGAAGAGTTATTGGGAGCGAACCGCTAGATGTTTAAGCGAGAGCGTCAATCTAGAAGTGAATGATCAATGTCCCGGTGTGCGATTAGAACTTGAATTGATTATCCCCGACTCCCTAGCTTCTTCATCTTTATTTCGTTTATATTTATTTTTAGGTAGATTATTATTTTATTTTATTTCTTAGTTAATAATTCATTCTGGTAACACAAAACTCCTCGACCGGCTGGAACTTGAATAATCGCCTTCCTTCTCGCCGATTTGGACGTCGTGTACCTACAAAGAACTCTCACACCGGAGGGGTTTTCCGGTGAAGAGCCTCCGATGCTTAAGTCAGTGTGTATTCAATCAATTCTCAAGAGTAATAGAATGATCGTGTTGAAGAAGAAAGGCTCACCCCCTTTATATAGGGGTGAGATACCTGACCTAGGGCTGCCCGGATTTGATGAGCTGTCTGCCCTAGCTGCCCGTCCGTACACAACAAACGCGTGTGTCAGAGGCGGCCGTCTCCACTATCGCCTGCACCAATCCTCTTTGGACGCGTGTCCTTCTGCACATGGGGTAGGCTGTCAGGGGTGGTTATCGCTATCCACCACTGCTTTCTCGACACGTGTCCCCCTACACATGGGGTAAATATTCTCCTGGAATTCTGTCAGAGGCGTCCTTCACGCGCCTATGACTAGGCCGAACAGCGTGGTGTTAAGTCCTCGAAGTAATTGACCCGTTGAGGTCGAATCAGAGTGCTCGATCGCCTATCTGGTCGATGAATAGTTTGGTCGACAGCTTTGCTTGGTCGACTGAGCGACTGCTCGATTCTCTCAACTTCTTCAGAATATGACCTCCTCAACCGGTCCGTAGACCGGCTCAGCCTATTGGGTATAATATCCCATATCATCTAGTCCCCCCCACTCTGGTCGAATCTGAATGATTCGATCTAAGAGTAGGTTAGCATGTATCGTCCTTCTGGGTGGTTCGTCGTTTAGATATCGACCAACTGGTGAGCTTCCCGCTCACTTTTTTCGAATAATTTTCCATTAATCCCTAGCCATAAAGTCATCCGCTTTAAGTCCTTCCTGTCGCATCCGTTTTCTGCCACGCGTCACAACTGTCAGACGTGCCAGACGCTTTAATTATTGCGCCTCCTCGCCTAACGCGTCCGTTTTGAGCTCCGTGCCAATTAATATTCCATCGTTGGATCTGCCTTTAATCTGACGGCCCTTATCCTTCCCCCTTTTAATCACCCAAGTATAAATTCCACACTTAGCGTATTTTCCAACTTTTTCCACCCTTTCAAATTTTGAATCGCTCTGTGCCCAGAATTGCCTTCTTCAAAAAATCTCTTATTTTCTCGACGATCTCTCCTGCGCTCCTTCAACCCTTCCTCAATTATCCATCCACGGTTATGAGTAAGTCTTTTTGCACTTGAATTTATATTCTTTGTAGTTCCATTCTGTGTATTTTGAATTTTCCATGTTGGGTGTTCTCGATCTGTCTGTTGAATTGCCCTAAATTGGCTTGTTGTGTGTTGAATCTGCGCTTGGGATACTCTTGCTTGTCTATTGAATGTTGGGGATTTGGTCTTTCCTTTGAAAATTTTTGAAATTTCCGTCCCTTTACTTTCTTACTTCCTCTCTTGTTTTCTGGGTCGCTCTCCCGTAAGAACCCTAATCTTCTTCTCCCCTCTTTCTTTCTTGCAACCGCTTCTTTTTGATATTTGTTCTCTTTGTTTTTGTTT